TTCATGCCCTCAACTCCTCTTTCCTCAGTGTGCACACATGCCACTCCTCTGTTCGGTCTCCAGTGTGTGCGCTTCCCCACACGAAAGTTAAGGGAGACAGCATGGAGCAATATGGAGTTGGGGGCAGTGAAGCCATTAACAAAGTAAGTGTTGGCCACAGACTACTGTTAAACTATGTAATACAGAATTGTACTGATTCCACTGATTTATAATACTGTATAAATTGAAAAAGGCTGGAAGATTTAGTACTACATTAACCTCAATATGATTAATAAACAAGTTAAAGTGACACTAAACTCAGGTGTTAAATCTTAAAAATGCATTCAAGTACCTTAACTATTAACAAAAATGTTGCTTATTTGTGCATCACTCAGCTGTAGATCCTCAACTCATCTCTGAATTCATGCTGACACTGTCCTTCCTTCTGGAGGGTGGCTACTTGTGTTCCCCTTGGTCCCTGTGTGTGCTGTAAAGTAGCCACCACTCCAAGCTCCCTCCCTTGAGATTTAACTCCTGAGTTTAGTGTCACTTTAATATTTTTTTCCCAAATTGTCTCTAATTTGCACATGTGTAACAAGTTCTGTTTTGTTTAAAATGAATAGATCCCTTAGAGATTTTTTTCTAGTTGAGGCTTCTATCATCTATCCCATAACATTGTCGTGCAATAATCTCAATAAATGACAAGCCATTGTTGAATGTGCAGTTCCATTAGCCATTATTCCCCATAATAAATACATTGCCCTGTTTTCCAGCCATTCAGTCTGTGATGGGAGTTGAACCTCTACCTTATCTTTTATGTTAAGCTGTCTTCAGATAAAATCTGGTGCTCCTGTAACAATTTTTTTATAAGCAATAGATTGTAAAATTTGAAAAAAAATGTAAACATGCATTAACAATGCAACAGTGGACCTCAGCCCATATCAGATCTGTTGTTACAACATGAACGACTTGTTGAACAATCAACATTATTTCCTGGAAGCATGTAGCGTTACCCACATGTTTATTCGAAACAGATGGCAGGAGCAGCAGGGTTGGTTTTACATTTTTTTAATTTACATTTATTTTTTACTTTTTATGACCTTTTTTTCATTTATTTTATTATTTTTCCTTTTATTCACCTTTTTAATTTTTTTAAATTATGTTATTATTATTTTTTATCACCTTTTTATTTTTTTCACTCAACTTTTGCTATCACAATGGGGCTAACACGCCCCTATGTGACAGCGTTTGGAGGTGACTGGTCCTTTTTATTGCGACATCAGGGGGTCTATTTGACTACTGATGTCTCCCCTGCTGTCCAATACATACAATCAAGCACTTCAGCCTGAGGCAGGGATCAGGTAAATAATAGTGCTTTACTCTGGTTCCCTAGACAAAAAAACCCAAAAAACTAGCAAGTTAACTTTTGCAGTGCAGGTGGTGTATTATTATTTTTTTAAATGGAGATAGTAATTTTGGAGTTGCTAATGCTAAGTTGTTTTAGAAGGTGCATGCTCAGCTCTGAACTTTAGCCATAACTTCACTTCTTGTGGACAGGTACAACATGACCCGCAGTAAGGAAATCATAGAATCAAGAAATTATTCAAAATGTTTGGTTTAAAAGATTCATTAATTTGTTTAATATCATTCCCCTTAGCTTCAGAAAGAGAGACAGCATAGTTAATAAGTTATTACTCTGTCATTAGAAGCTATGAAAAAGCTTTAGTTTAATGTAAAGTTCTTTAATCCATACATTGCAGTTCTGTAATCTTCGTCTGTGCACACTACTTATACCCTATGGGGAGGCACCTAAGCTTGTTTCAATATTTCTTAATTTGAGTGTAAATGAGGTCTGTGATTTGGGATTTGGGATCATGATCTGAATATAGAGAAGCAAAACATAGGTGATATGTAATTGTTCCCTTACTATACTACAAGATGTTTAAAACATTCTGGGTAATTGTTGGAGCTTTGTTTTCTTCATTTGTTTTTCTTTTAATATGTAGCAAATTAAATCAATCCAAATGTTTTAATTTGGAAAAAAAACAAACCTAACTGCATTATTCGGCTAAAACTGTGACTCAGAAGACTTGTTCTGTATTGAAAAAATATATATGTTTGGAAATCATAAGAATGAATATAGTTTTTTTGCTTTTTTCAAGACTGTCAGAAATGTGACAAATGGTTGTAAATATTGCACATTAGATGGCGTATAATCCAAACTGTTCAGTGCTTTGGCAGAAATTGCTCAATAACTGTCCATAGCTAGGGTATATGTATATACTGTGTTGTAAGGAGCATATTAACTATAATAGTGCAGGGATACGCGATAAGGAATAATAAGTTACCCCTCGGACAATGTAACCCATAGGTGTGGGTCTATTGTACCTAATGATCCAGCCATGGGGTCTATCACTGATTGAACCACAGAAAAAAATAATATTGACTGTTATGGGATTCTGCAATTTGCACATTAATATTGTTAAAGTGTGTGTATAGCCCAAACTCTCCCAAAATGAGAGGAATTCCTCTCTTAGACAGTTGTCCATGAACCAGTCATCCCCTATGGAAGATCCCCCTTACCAACCTTATCTATCTTAGGATAACTCTCAAATGTTGGATTTCCCTGCACTTTCTTTCTTGGGGATAATGGTCACAAGTACAGAGTGGTAAAACTTTCCAGTGAGGACACTTGGAAGAGTCTAACCCTTCCCCACTCTATCCAGGTTTTGCCTACAGATACACTTTAATTACTGTGGCATACCACACTCTGTTTTCCACTGGCAGTGTGAGATCTGAGTTCCCATATATTAGGATACACTGTGAAAACAAGATAATAAAAACATTTTCTTTGTATGGGTTTCCACAGCAACATGTTTGTTCCCAGTATTTTTCCTACTTAATAGGTTTCCCCTAAAGATCATTTCTGAATTGAATGGACTGCCTATTGTTTGATGTCTGTGGCTAGTTTTAGAGATATATTTTAAGAATTCATTTGAATGGTGGGTGGAGTGCAAAATGGTAAAGTGAAAATTCTACAAATCAGCAGGTTACGTGACAGGCAATGGCAGAACTACCACCATAGACACCCATGGGGTCGCTATGAGGGGCCCAGTCAGGACCAGGAGGGATGAGTTGTTCACATTGTCCTTTTGTCACCCACCACTCCATTACTTGGCTGCCAGTGCTTGTCCCAACTTTCTCCCTGTTAGTGTAAGCCGAGATGCGGAGTGATCTGCTCCCGACTCTTGTTTGATAGTTCTGGCTCTGATGTCAGAGCCAGCAGGTGCCAGAGGTAGCTGTTGCACTGTATGTTGGGACAGTAATTTGTGGCAACTAAATATTTTGCTATGGGGCCCTGTGGTTTCTAGTTATGTCCCTGGTGTCAGGTCCTAAAACATGAGTGTGAAAGAGTATCCACAGCAGAGGAAGGGAGAATGTTTTGTTCAGATCATTCGAATTTTGTTCATAATGAAACTCTGAAACGCTTGACTGTTTTCTGGCCAATCAGAAAACCACGTCTGAATTTAAAATGAAATTTCCGAAAGGTCCAAATCCGAATAATGAAACCAAACGGCGTTTGGACCCGAAAGAAATTCAAAAGGAGACTATTTTTATGCTGGCTTACATGTCTATACAGGAGCACTTACAATGATATCATAATATAAAATATCATCATAGTACCCCTAAAAAGATCAGTTTATGCTGAAAATATTTGTGAGTTACTAATAACAGATTAATTAAAATTGACTGACTATGCTATAGTTTATGTGAAGATCAATGACGGTATTATCACAGTTGACACTACCATGTGCCACAGAGAAAGGTTGCATCAAAATTTTTCTTTGGGTCCCAGGATCTGTAGTTATGTTCCTTTTTTTTATTTGAATGGAGCTCTAATTTAAAAAATTACACATTAGATTTGAAGGGATGTCAGCAGAGAAGCTGTAGCCAGATGACAAATACCACCAAAAGAAAGCTCTATCTGTCCCCAAAAAAGGGTATACAATTCATTTCAGTACAGCGCTGCATGACGGAATAAATGTCAGTTAAAGTACCGCAGCGCTGAATACTGAAAAATGGCCTGGATGGGAAGGGGGTTTAACACCGCGGATGTCAACTGGTTAAGTATTATTGGTTGTCACATGTTAATGCATCTTCCACATTACATAATGTATTATAAGGATAAGGGTGAGGGTCACATTGTTTAGCCAGTTGAGTGAGTGCTATCACTTTTTAAATCATTTTAGACCTAATTCACAAAGTTAACTCATAAAGAAAAGGGTTTCTATTTTTAAAATGTGAGCTATTTTAAGCTTCATTGAGATATGCAAATGTTACAATGTTACATGCCTGAAAATAAAGACCTTTATCACTGTGTTAAAACTTTGTGTATTGAGCCTATTATTTACTTTTATCATTACAAATTTAAAAACAACAGAAGCTACTGGCTATCAGCTCAGAGTAACAAAGCAATAATAAAATCTTATCCAGTCACAAATCCGTTGCAAAAGTTGGTTAATAAGATTTGTTTTCCCTTCACTTGTAGGAAATTATTTCATAAGAGATGTTATGATTTCCAATGCAGTAGCATAACTAAATTCATAATTTTTCAGACCTAAGTGATAAAAAAAATATTTCAAACACCAGTCTAAACCACAGTTCATGGTATAGCTAGTAATAGTCACATTCAACTGGATTTGTTCTGTAATGTTGAAGGTGTTTTGTACCTTATTCAAGCCACAAGCTTTTTCTACCCCAGCACTAATACCCACAAATGTACCACAGACACCCTAATCCAATCACAATGGAATGTGTCAAGGCAGATGTTGATTGTCCAAGTAATGGACAAGGGGTGCTTTACATGGCTAAAGGTATGAATCACTGTGTACAGTAATAGGTTCAGAAAGGAAATTCTAAGAAGTATTTCTTTTAGGAATTACAGTCACATTTTTCATGTTTGATTTTGTTTCTATTTTTATATCCTCAACAATAATGCATTGTTTTCTGTATTTTTTAAGATAAAGGCATATCCCGCTGAACCATCAAATTCATTTTTTGATCCCTTTACAACAATACAACCATATCCTGTAAGTAGATTTCTGTTTGCCTTGCCTAACATTTGATCATGTGCTTTCACGGTATGATGACATGGACCTTATGAATGATTTCCTTGCTGCTTGAGAAATCATCACTGATCTGATTATTGACCAAACAATTGTGACTAAAAGGGAAACTGTAATATTTTTTGCTGTCTCTGTCCTGTCGGGGTGAGTTCCATTCATTTCTCACCCTAAAGATACAACAGGAAGTTGTATCAGTCATCCAAACAGATTTCCCTCCTATTCCTGTTATGGTGATTATGATGTTATGGTGATAACTAAAATTCTGTTCTGGATTCCCCACCATATTCTGTCCTGATAATGGTCACCAGGACAAATGGAGATATGAATTTATCCATCAGGGACACGGACAGCAACATAAACCTGACAAGTGTTCTAACAATTTCACACTATCAAAAACGGGAAGAAAGTTTTGGCTATGCATGGACTTTAACCTCTTTAATCCATTGTTTTATATCTGTTTTTTTATACGCTACAGATAAGTAAACATTTATTAACATTAAAGAAGCAAACAAGGACACTGGAAAACATGTTAAAGGAGCCTAAAGCTTTGTTTACTAACTAAGAAGTAAAACACAAAATATTATTTTAAATAAAAAATATTTAATTTACCTGTCTTATAATATATTCTATATATGTACTGTATGTGTGTGTATATGTATTTATGTATGTATGTATATATAGATATATAGATATATAGATATATATATATATATCTATATAATATATATGAATTTTTTTTCCTCAATGACTGTACAGTACACATAGTATCAAGCATTTTGCATTCATAGTATAGGTCAATTACGATCCCATTTCTGTTGGTGCACAGCTGTAGTGCTGATATAGGGGCATACTGCATAGCTGTATTCTGCATATGATACAATTTAGTTTGGTTCATAAAGATAACCCATAATTACTACTGAGTTTAATACAGTTGTGTCAAGTGTAATGACAGACAATAATGTAGTATCCCTTAACCAATCAGATTTCAGGTTGGTGTAGTCCTAAATGCAAATTATAAGATTGCATGCTGTAGGTTAATGCCCTTTGCATATAGTCATTGCTCTTTGCTACTTTATTCAATAAATAAATAATGTTTGTCTCTAAAGGACAGTATTTGTTCTTCGAACATGACATTTATATAATTTTTCATCAGCTATTGAGTTCTACTGAATAAAAGCACCATTCCCCAAAAAATAAAAAGATGATGTTTGATCAAAACTGTGTCTAAAGTACACAGAGAGTACAGTAGCATTGTTTTAATGTATTTTTGAATGGCGACTTACCAAGTAGTTCTTTTTTTACATTTCTGGCAAGCTAGCCCTACCACATGATGCCTTAAATTAGACATCTGCATCCATGTGTGTTCAGTCTCAATTTTGGTGAAGAGATATTTTGCCTATTAGTTTTATTTACTGATTGTGTTTGCTGCTATAAAGTATTATAATCTAAACATTAGACATGTGCGATTAGTTTCGGTACAAAATTACATTCAGAAGAATTTGCATTATTTGGAGATTTGGATGTATCCGAATCTCCGATTAACATTAGTAATGGATTTCAACCAAACCAACAGAAATGAAAATGAAAACAACGAATTAATTGGGATTCATTCATTTAATTTGGATGTCACGATGCAATAGTTTGGGCCTTTGGTTAAAGGTTGATATATAGCCAGTCTTCCAAAATAACGAATTGTATGTAATAACGAACAACCGACCATCCGAAATTACAAATCAAATCGGCATAACAAATAACTAATTCTGCCAAAATAATTAATTATTCTGAAAAACGAATCATTCTAACGTAACGAATATGACGAAACAAAATGATTTACTTTACGAATAAAACATTTTTTTTGCCGGTGCACATGTCTACAAAACATTACTTATAGATAATCTACTCAGTAGTATTTGCCTGTACTTCTTACGAGCATGAAGTGGTAATGCCGGATCATTGTTATACAAAATGTTAATGAAATTATAATTAAATGGTATTATAACACCATTCCTCAAACCATGTATCATAGCTGCAATATATATGATAGTTGGAACAGATTTCCATGAGAGGTAGTAAATTAGTTAACTGCAAGTGAATTTAGATGATTGGGATAAATATAGATCATCAGACAAAAAAAAATAAAAAGGCAGATTTGATGCACATGGGCTTTGTTTGCCATTAGCCCTCTGTGTTCAAATGTTACATGTTGGCTAACATTGAATATTAAGTATGACACATGTGTATAACATTTGGTGTACCAAAATACCAATAAAATACACAGTGTTTGCTAATACATCACCTATTAATCACTATTTGCCTATCCATAGAGACAATTACAACATGAAACACATGAACACCTATGATACATGTATAATTAAGTAGTCAAATTATTATTATTTGTGATAAACAAAACTGATTTGTCTTTCAGTTGAACCAAACTGCTAATTTTTATTTTTTTAAATATAATACATAAAATATTTTTTTTAAATTAGATTAAAAAATAAAACTTTTACCCCAGCAATATAATCTGTTAAACCTGTTCACTGTGGCATCTCCATTTTACAGGCGTATGGACATCCATAAATACATTGCAATTAATTAATAAGTACATAAACAAATAAAAGCAAAGAAAGGCAGACCAGCCAATATTAATCCATTGTAAGAGAAGCAGTAGATTGTCCGGAGGACCGATGAAGCTAACTATTATATTTTAACCTTTGTCTTACTGCTTTTTGATGTCTGGGTAAAAGAAGGGATATATATTTTTCTTTTTTCAGGTAGATTTATTAGAGACACCAATACAACAGTACTCCTCTGCACAGCCCTCTCCAAAGAGAATGTCACCGGCCATTCATCTGGTACCATCCAGACAACTCAAGAACCAAGCACAAGCAATGCAGGGAGCTCATTCATCACACATATCTTTAGTGGACAGGTACTAATGTATATTCATCTACTGCAGCACGGTGTTTTGGAATCAAACGTTTGTCTATTAATACTTATTTTTGAACCCAACACTATATGAAAATGGTGCCAGCAGCATCAGGAAAATATGTAGGATATCATACTCTGTCTATATCTGTCCATATACAGAAAGGTCTGAATTTACCATTTTAACAAAACGTCATGTATGAAATAGAGAGGTCATTCATGAAGTGACTCTAAAATGAATATTCAAAACAAACTGCTCCTCCAAAGAAGACAATCAGCATTCATATTACATGTTTTTTTGAAAAACCCTACTAAATTAATACCCACCTCTCCTGCTGCATCTCTGCACAAGTAGAGAGAAACCGCTTGTTGAAGATCCTACAAAATCCAGCACTTCCAGGAGTGTCAATTTCCTGGCCCGAAGAATATGGACACAGACGCTCAAATAGAAAATACAATACGTCTATTTATTGACGTACATGCAAAACAAGCATAAGACACTTAGTGTAACTAAGATTGCTCTGCCTGATGAAGGGGATCCTACGAGACCCCGAAATGTTGCGCTAAGTGTGTTGTGATTTTTTTGCATGTATGTCAATAAATAGACATATTCTATTTGCTATTGGAGTGCCTGTGTCTATATTCTTCGTATCACAGAGACGGTGGCCATCCGTCAACTACCGCTGCACCCACCTTATCTTGATGGAACAGCGGTTAGGAGTGCGATGGGCATATGGATTATAATATAATATTGCCTGGCCCTCTGCATTTAGTGGATCAATCCTATGTCCTGTTGTGACATAGTGGCCGGTGGGAGAAAGCACAATGTGTAGCAGGGGACCGGGTAATTGACACTTCTGGAAGTGTCAGATTTTGGAGGATTTTCAGTTGGCACATTCTCCTTACTTCTACTGAGATTGTCAGCATGGACAGCAAAAGAGTTAGTATATACCGTATATACTCGAGTATAAGCCTGAGATAGTAAAATTAGGTACCTCGGCTTATATTCGGGTCGGCTTATACTCTTTTTTGCAGGGAAAAAAGTTAATTTTTGTAATATTTATTTTAGCAGCAGAGTCACTTTAAACAATTAATTTAAATAAATCTAGCATTCATATTACACAGTTGTCAATAAATACAGCTAAACTGACAAATGAAAATCTTGATACCTGCCACTACTTTGTTGGTTGAATGACAGGAAAATAAATAACTATCGAACAAAATCTCTTTCACATGACAAAGACACAAGTATCCACTTGTTTATTTATGTGTACTTCAAACATCCCTGGTGCCACATTTACAGAGCAACAGGATTCTAGTCATAAAGTTCTAATCAGTCTGATAGCCTTTTCTCTTGAAGAGATTTGCAGATAGTGGCAGTATGATATTGTACTGATGACGCTGATGCTCTATTCATATTTTATCCATGTTTCAGATCAAGGTATCTCTTAGAACTGTGTACCTTTCCTGAGAAGCAGTCAGGGGCCCTGCATTATGCTATAACAGACTCCTTAACCTCCAGTGGCGGGTAAATGGGAATTCTGGGGGCGCTGCCTGAGCCGTACCACAGTCAATAGAGTACAGTGGAAGTGCAGGCAGGGTGCTGGACAAAGCTCTAGGAACAAAATTGAAGTGAAATAGTTTGATACATATATGTAATTATAGCAGATTACATTGTATTGTGTGTATTCTGTGTAAATGTCATGTTTGCACTTTTGAATATCCCGCCGGCTCCGCCCCCCGCTGTGACGCCCGAAAACGAAACTGGAAGCCGAATGCTGGCAGAGGACACTGCGGGCTCGCAAATTAACCCCGAGCCACACTCAGGAATACCGCCAGGGAGGTTAAACATAATAATGCCCATTGTATTGCTTTGGTGTGATAGAAATTCCTTAATGTATTAAAGTGTATACAAATATTTAGAGCTTGGGCCACATTAACAGCATACAATTAAAATATAACGAGGGTATCTGATATCTTACTTTGAAAAAAAAAATATGTTACACTAAATATGTGCAAACTTTTTGAGCTACTAGAAGTTTGCTACTAATTGAGATACATTCCATCATAAGTTGTTAATGTTTTACTTGTAAATGAACACATTTCCTTTTATTTCCTTTTTTCTTTAGTTCAGAGGCACGCAGACGTGAGCTTGAAAGAGAGAAGATGATGAAAAGACTTTTGATGACAGAACTGTGAATTTCTTGTGTTCATCATCAGAGCACCGGACTCGGGTCTTTCGAGTGCCTTCTGTCACTTTACATTCCACTGTGTTATTTAGGAAGGCGAATGCCTCCTACTGCTTTGGAAATAATGGGCCAAAACTAGTGATCTAGACTACAGTTAGTTAAATACCAACATACTGCATGTAAAAAGGAAATGTTATTGCTTTATCTTGTACAATGTTTATTATTTGTAAATAGTTTAAGAGATTAACATTATACAGAATATTTTAATAGCTACAAATTATACAATTTATTATCCTACACAGCTTAATATTTTTCAATAAGGTAGTCCTTTCACATTTCTCATAAAAAGTTGAGTGAATGATTCAGTGATGGTGCAAAATTAAGTGTAACTCATCCAGAAATATTGCACATACATTGATGTATTCTGTTCTGATGTAAAAATGTATGACTAACTGTAGAAAGTATATAGATGGATTTAAGGTAAAAGGGCCAATGATAACTTGGAAATGGAAAGAAGATCTTTCCATTTCCACAGTACATATGATTTAAAATAAGTTATAAACTAAACCGTTTTTTTTCTTCTAAATATGCACAGATGTTTGAATTTTTGCTAAAAAAACAGTAATCACCAAGGAAAATGAATTAACCTGACCCTTGGCTGAGAGCTAGGTGAAGTGCCTCTGTTACAGGCCATCAACAGGGACTTGAGCAGAGCAGTCAAGATGAGCAGTCAAGATTTCTGCACCTGCAAGTCTTCTAAGTTTATTATTTTTATTACAGATATTCATATAGTGCCATTATTTATGCAGAGCTTTACACACTGTGCATTCCCATCAGCCCCTGCCATTAAGGAGCTTACAATGCAATGTCACTATCTCATATGCACACAAACTGGGGCCAATTTAAACAAAAGTCAATAACCTCTGCATGTTTCTGGAGTGCGGGAGGAAACCCTCACAAGCACAGGGAGAACATGCAAACTCCTTGCAGATAGTGTCCTGGACGAATCTGGAAATGCATGGGGGACCTCTGTGTGGCAAGGCAGAAGTGCTAACCACTGAGCCACCACTGTCCCTACTCTCACAATACACAGTATACATTGATATGTATTACACTGAAGTGATAGGACTTCATATCTATTGTACCACTGTTGCCAGACAAACAATCTGTAAATTACAGCTTGATAGATAGCAGTGCCAGTGACATGGAGTGTTTTGCCAGAATGCAAGGAGCTATAAGTTTTATTCCTTAAAGCAGACCTAGACTCCAGTAACATTTTCCTGCAAACAGTGTGAGGCAAGTAAGTCACTGATGATATATGAACTTAAAGAACGTGCAGTAAGCATTTTGCAGCTGCCTTTTTGCCCAGACCCACTTTTTATCCATTGCACATTGCATCTCTGTGACTCCTAATAAACTTCTCTAAGGCTAGAAGAACAAAGTGTGTCTAGGCACTGTCACATGTCAGGAAGTGCTCTGCTGCTTTTAATTTATGTTAAATAGAGATAAACTGTGCTAGGAATCAATTAACACTCTAAAAGCAGCTGTGCTTAGTAGGTGAGTACACCCAAAAAAGGAAGAAAGATGGCACTGTTCTTCGACAAACTCAAAATGTATTCCTAAAATGTGAAAAAAATTGTATTTCATACATACGGCGATTTTCCTTTCCTGACTAGCTCAAGGGCAGCACACAAATGGGTAAAGGCATGACCTCTTTACCTAGCTAATAGGTCATGACTCATGAATTTGAACAATCCCCAGAAACCTGCGTGACATTACTAGCAACTCCGGCTGGGTGGGATTTGTGCTGCCATGAAGCTAGTCAGACAAAGCAATAACTTTTTGCCCAAACTCTACTGTGGTCAATGCAGCCAGCTCAATACAATACTGTCGTATGAACATGTGAAGAGAAGACCACTTGGCCCCTTTACAAATTATTTCTGGCGACACATGATTCACGGCTGCCCAGGGGGCCGAGATGCTGCGTGTAGAATGTACTGTCACTGATTCACGAGTCACCAAACCCTTTGTCTTATAAGCCAAGGTTATCGCCTTCACCATCCAGGAGGCGATAGTTCCAGTGGACACCTTGGATCTTTGCCTTGCCCTGGTAGGGACAACAAAGAAATGACCCGTAGATCTGAAGGTTGCTATGGCTTCAATGTATGATCTCAGGGTTCTACCTTCATCCAACCGACACCTTTGGCTTTCTGCTTCTGAAAAGGTATGAATCACTATTTCTTGATCCATATCGAATTTTGAAGCCACTTTTGGCACAAAGCCAAGTATGGGGATCAACATGACTCTGTCTGCCATAAAATTAATAAAAGGTTCCTTGCAGATGACAGCTGCAATTTCTGAGACTCTCCTTGCCGAAGAAATGGCAACTAGAAATGCTGTCTTCAGGGTCAAGTACCAGAGAGAGGCCTTCTCCCCAAATGTGTCAGAAGCCAGGAATTCCAGAACTAGCGGCAAATCCCATTTGGCGAAAGAAGTCTTCTAGGGGGTCTCAGGACTGATTTGAAAAAGTTGATGAGTAGCAGATCGACCACCCACTGTACACTTGTAAAGACAGACAGTGCCGATATGTGGCCCTTAAGTGTACTGGAACTTAAGTTAATGTCCAGTCCCTTCTGCAGAAAATCTAAGACATGAATCACTCGAGGGACTTCTGGGGAAAAACCCTGCAGAGTTGCAAACTCCTGGAACTTGCACCACACTCTATTAAGATCTAGTTGTGCTCTTCTTCCTGGACTTTAGCAACGCCTTGACCATGCCGTACAAATTCTTAGCCTCTTCCTTTCAAGATCCAGGCCATTAAAAAGAGTTTCTCGGGTGCTGAATGGGATGTGTCAATAAGTCCTTCCTCTGCGGCAGGGGAAGAGGGCTGCCTACTGCCAATTGTCGGAGAAGAGGAAACCAGGGCGATGAGGCCAGTTTGGGATCACATTGTGACTTCTTCCACCTGGAGTTTTTCTTTAGGAAGCCAAGTATAAGAGGTACCGGGGAAAGAGCATATGCTGTTTTAAATGTCTGTTCCATGGTTAGTGCATCAGTGGCCACCGCCTATGGGCATGGGTGCCTCGAACAGAAGATCGGTAATTTTGCATTGGACATGGAGGCATACAAGATGATTTGAGGCCGAAATGCCCACTCCATCAGTCTCTGAAAGATTTTTGGTGACAGGGAACATTCGTTGTTGCCCAGCCATGATCAAGAAAGGAAATCTGCTTCAACATTGGAACGCCCCAGTTCGTTTGGGCTCAAGTCATTATTGGGGCAACCTACCGGAGAAGCCTATGGCTGTGAGTGCCGCCTTGTCTTTTTACATATGTTACAGCTGTTGTGTTGTCCATCCTCAACATGAATGAGTGCCCCCTGATGTAGGTTGGGAATGCTAACAGAGCCTGGAAAGCAGCTCGCAGTTCAAGCACATTGGAAATCAGGCCTTTGTTGGGAAGCTCCACCTTCCCTGTGATGTTTGGTCTTGACAGACTACTCCCCACCCCATTTTGCTGGCATCTGTCGTGATCACAATCCAATCCACTAGCAGAAGGGAGTGGTAGCAAATAAGGTTGCAATCCTGGAGCCACCACCAAACACTGTTTCATAGATGTACGCCAGCAGCACAAAAAGCCTGTCTGCAACTTGCGGGACCTCCACTGTGCCCTCTTCAACATGGAAACTGCTGCTACCATTGTACCAACAACCTGCAAGCATTGTGTTACTGACATAGTAGTTGCCATGAGTGCTGCCGATATCCTTTGTTGAATGATTGGGATTTTTTCTGGAGGAAGCGCTACTGAACTTCGAGCTGTGTCTATTCTCGCTCCCAGATATACTAGATCTTTCATGAGTGTAAGATGGCTCTTTTCCATATTGACTAGCCATCCACAATCCTAGAGAGTTGCAAGGACTAGCTCACGATGGATTAACAACTGGTCCCGATTTTGACTGAGCCAAAGGATATCGTTGAGTAATGTATCCACACTCCTCTTTGTCAAAGAAAAGCCACCAGAGAAAGTGAAACTTTCGTAATGATCCTGGGCAAAGTGGTGAGGGCAGACAGATGAAGTGAAGGTGCAGTTGGGTGACTGAAAAACACAGGGATTTCTGAAACTGTGGATGCACTGGCACATGAAAGTAAGTGTCCCTCAAGTCTATAGATAGAAGCCAGTCCCCTGGCTGTACAATTTTTATTATCGTATGCAGCTATTCCATCTTGAAGTGTTCTTTCTGTATATGTCTGTTGAGACCTCTCAGATCTATTCCTGATCTCCAAACCCGTTTTTTTCCTGAACCAGAAATAGAGGGGAGAGATTCCCAAAAAACGCTCTTGTAGTGGAACTTTCACCACTGCACTCTGGGACATTATGATCATCATATATGACCATAGAATTTCCTTCTTTGACATGCAAGTCGGAATCTTGGTGGGCACAAACATCAGCCGAGGAGACCTGTGAAACCGCCATGTATGGCCTTCTGAGATGTTGTTGATCACCCACCAATCCTTTATGTTATTCACCCAGATTTGCTGGAACCTGGCTAACCTGGCCCCTACTTGGCAAACCTGAGAGGCCAAAACCTCAAAAAGACTTCTGTACAACTGCCCGGAAGTAGAAGTGCCCTTCTTCGCTCTCGTGGCTCCTGTCGAGACTCTCCATGGCCTGCAGTACTCTTTTCCCGGTTCATAGGACTTCCTTAGGCGCTATTTGTGCAGATCCCTTGAAACGTTAGTTCTTTTGCAATAAGAGTCTTCTATCCTGCGGAGTAAAGCTGGATCTTCTGCCTTCAGCCTTGGAATTTCCAACTTGTTCCCAAAGAGGGTTTGACCAAAAGGGATCTTGTACCAGCCTTGCTTTGAGGTAGGGTCTGACCCCCTGCCCCCTCCCTCCGCCCACACACCTAGGGCACACAGACTGGCGTAAAACACAGATCCCTGCCCCTTTAAAAAGCTCTAGCCCCTCCTCTCCAGTGATGCTGGCGGCTACTGCGCATGCGCCGTCTCTGTCACAACTCAGCTGGGAGGCTGTGGAGCACAGCATCTGCGCTCCACCTCTCGCACAGACAGAGTCGCCGGCAAGGAAGGCCACTGGGATCAAAAGAAGGAAGAAAAGTAAACAGTGACACATGTGGAACGCACCGCCCGTGCATTGCACAACTGGACAGCCATTTCTGCTACAGCCGGTAACCCAACCAGGGAAACCACCTTCGGAGGGGTCCGGATTCACCGGTCACAACATACCATGCCTCGAATACCAACAGGAACAGGAACAGGAAAGTTAGGGTCTGGAACTCACTGCCACAGGCGGTGATTTCAGCAAATAATGTGGAATTGTTCAAGAAACTTTTGTACGATTTCTTAAGGGACCGTAA